TTTACAAGCAGTAACTGCTGACAATGAACCCGAAGAAGAGCACGATACCCTGGAACAGGATCTCAGAGATCTCATAGCGAACAAGCCATTTGACCTTCTGACTTCGTTGAAGCAATTGATAGCACACCACAAACAGCGTCAACACTGGTGGCAGTATGACACGAATACTCGACAGGATCACAACCGTTCTTGGTGGAACACACCCAGCGCGCAAGATCACTCACCACCAAAGCGGGCTGTTGTTCAAGAGGATGATGCGGGGTGGCAGACAGTCACATCCAAGCACAAAAAGCAAACCTGGGCCGATGTTGCAAAAAAGGCTACTCAAAGACCTTCACAACAGACGGCTAGACCTTTGCAATGGAGCCTCACAGGACTGGAAAGAACAAGAGGTTCAAGTTTGCTATGGCATTGCCGATTTCACGAATGCAGATAAAGCCAAGCCCATTCTGATGAAAGCTGGCAATCTTGCAGACCTCGAAGGATTGGCCACAGCAATACAGGTGCACCCAGACATGAAGCTTACTGTTCTCAAGGAAAAGAACCTTCTTTTTGAAGACTCAGCTGATCTTTTTGATTGGCAGGATGCCCGCTTACCGGTGATCATTCAGGGACGTTTGGTTTCCAGATTGCTTCATCGATACAGCATGAATGATGGATGCCCATCGCTGAAAGGTCCTATTGAATAGTCCGGGGGGTAAGGTTCAGCCAGACGCAGAGACCTTAGTGGTACGTTTTCACGTTGAGCAACCATACACAAAGGACTGGAACAGACTTCGTGCCAATCCTGGCAAACTCGTTCGTCAATGGTGTTCGCAAGCTGGATGCAAGCTTCGAGACACTTGGGCCTGGGAATTGGCCACGGGTCCCGCAGGTAAACAGACACGGATCCAAGGACTGGCTCGAATCGAAGTTAAATTTCTGAACGATCTTCTGAAAGCTTCCGGTTCCATGTTCGAGAACATCCGTGTCTTCACTGAATGCGCCCATCGCCAGCCGAACATTGCTACCTATAAACCTACAGGTGTGGGTTGGCAGGCATATCATCCGACGGAAGCATGGCTTGAGTATGCTGCCCGTGTTCGCCAGCTGTCGACGCAATTTGGAGTTGTTCGAGGCCCTAAATATCTTGGTGTTCGCCGTGTATTAACAGAAGAAGAGATCGCTGCTCCATCCAAACACATCAGACATTGGAAGGCCCTTGGAGTGCCTCGGAATTGGACTGAAGACCAATTACACAGTGTCATTTCGTATGCAAGTTTTGTAGACATCCAAGTTCTCGAGCGCCGCTTGGTTGTTTCGCGGTCTGTTCGACGCCGCCACTGATCACCTTACGATCCAAGCAGAAGGTATTGAGATCCAGCTGTGGAGACAGGACAAACAAATATCTCGACCTCCGAGCATCGCACATCCGCCTGAGAAACGGCAATATCTCACGACGCAACCCACCGTCGGAGGTAAGCACATCGTTCACGAGCCCAAATCCCCTCGTAATTTGAGCTCACCCGACAAATCTGATGAATCCAAAGACAAGACGAACTCACCTCAACGTTTTGCTGACGGTAAAACCAGTGGTAGGGCTGACACCGGACCTCAGAAAAGGCACAAGGCGGACGGAACCATGCAGCTTCCGCCGGGAAGACAATGTTGGGCAGGGAGCTTGCCTGTTCCATGCGGTCTCTGATTCGTTAGCTGCCATCGGCAAGAAAACGTCGGCCAAAGAGTTGAGACTTTTGGTTTGCACTCACATGGGGAAACATAAGAGCCTGTATAACTCTTTTTGGGATGGGGTGCGACCAGAAAGAGAAGATAAGGAGATCAAACCTCGCAACTTTGACGCATATTAGAAACTGGTAGCAAAGGAAGGAGCTTGGGCAGGCATGTTAGAGCTTCAAGGCCTGGCTACCACGATGGATCGCCCCATATATTTGGGACACTGTCAGCATGAATGTCGTGGTATTCAACCAAGAGAGCAGGCGTGGCGCTGCTTTGGTATACTGCCGACCATTACCTCACCCTCGCAAAGCCTTCTGGATCAAGCCGTTTTTGGAGTTCCTAGAGGTCAGCGAGGGGCGGGAAAAAGTCGATCGCATGCGTCCACCACCGGAACCAAACGTTCCTTTGACGTTTTCTCAGGTTCTCGCAAAGCCAAGAGCCAATTAAAGCCCTGATAAGACTTCAGCTGCCTCTTCCTCCAGCATTGGCGGTCACACAGTTTTTCACCACAGAGCTGGCTCGCAGTGCAGCGAAAATTTTCGCTTTGGCCAAGATCTCTCAGCGCCGCGCCTAAAACCTGGGTCCGGTGGCTCATACCCAGGTGCCTCCGAGGAGATCAGCGTCAAAAGCCAAAGTGCCAAGGGTTGTGATAGCTTTAGCAGTAAAGACACAGACCTGACCGCCACAACGACAAATAAAGAACCTTTTCAATGGGCTTGCAACCTCTGCAATTGTAGGATTTACTCCTCCACTTCCCGAAAACTAGGATACAAGCGAAATCATCGTATCGCTAGACAACATAAAGGCACTGCCCGCAAAAGGTTCACCATGATCCGCACTGTTCATGACATTATTCCGGTCCAGTCTCTTGATTGTCTCCCTACATAACCTTCATGGGTTTGTTCCTGGTGCCAACACGGGCTTGCCTTTTTGAATGAATCTCAACGGGTTAGTTCTGCCAGAGCGCATTTGAAAGCATGCGCGGCCGCGCCACGAAGCGCTACCATGAGGAAAAACTTGTTGAATCACATGTCCTTAGGCGGTCTTCCTATTGAGGGAAAGAACCCGAGTAACGCTTGCTAAGTCTTGGCTGAAACACAACCGATTGAAGTCTCAAGCCGCAAAGCATTGCCAGGACCTGGGTCATCAACCCAAACGTTGGCAACCTTCGAACCGAGTCCTTTACACATGCACAACTTGCACAATCATTTGGTGCACTGCCACGGCTATGAAGCAAACCAAAGCTTGCGCCGGTTCCAGTGGAAGATCGCAAGTGTTGCAAAGCTCTTCTCGGAGAGCTTGGTACAACAAACTAGGCAAACAAGACAAAACGGACGCCAATCGACTTTGGCAGTTGAGCAAGAAGGAAAAGGAATGGCTCCCACAAGCCAAAAACCAACCCAAGGGTTGGGTACGAGACTTGACACAAGAAAATATCCACCCACAGCCTGGTCCGTCACATTCTGAGCAACATCGCTTTTGCAGCCTGAATACACAAGGTTACAACAACCTTTACTCCTTCATACAGGAAGCTGATCTGTTGGATGCAGACATGCTTTGTTCTCAAGAAACCAATCTCACCAAGCGACAGGCCGAAGACCTCATAGCCCTGGCCAGGAGCGGGGGCTACCGAGGTTGGGCGTGTCTAGGCGAAGCCAAACTGGATTCGAGGAACCGATCGGATTTCCACGGTGGCCTTGTCACCTTGATACGCAGTTCGTTGCCGGCTCACCGAATCACCGAGAACACCGACGGCGCTACTGCTTTGCTGATGGCGCAGGTAGGCGCCCATGATGATGACGATGTCATCGCAACAGTTGAAATTGGGACCCCATTGCTCAAGAAATGGCGACCTACAGAGTTCTTCGAAGCCGAGCACAAGACTTCCCTGGCGAGGAGTACTTCCTGGACGTGGATGGACGTCTAGAACGCCACATGGAGGACTTGGCAGCTTGAGTGAAGAGAGTTCAGAAGAAGAAGAAGAAGAATCTGCAGCAGACCAACCTGCTGAAGAACCAGAAGATGATTCACCTGAACAAGTTCGACGTGTTGAACGTGAACCTAGCGACGAAGTCACGGACGCAGTTCGAGAAGTTCAACGGCAAGCTGGCTTGAGAGAAGAGCTACGTGGAGTAGAACGTACCTGGCATCGTGTTCTGGTTGAACCCGGACACAGGTGAGATCCAGATGCACCGACTCCTCGATCTTGAGATCGACACCCTCAAGTTGGCGAAGGGTACTTCATAGAGAACCCCAACTGGGGAAGAGATGGTGGCAAGTTGTTTCTTCGAAGGCTTTGCTATGAGCCTGAGCCCGAAGAGAAGACCCCTGAGTCTCCAAGAGGATATGATGGCCTATTGGAAGCAGAGACTGGATGCAAGTTGTGAGAGAAAGGAGGGCAAGAGCACAGATGGCTGCATTGCAGTTGAAAAGGCACAAGAAGAGCAGTCGCAAGCCGAACCGCGCTGAGAGCCATCAATGCAAGAGTGCTATGACATGGTACAGAACTGACAGTGGATGTTGGAGTGTGCTTCAAACACGCACATTCCAGAGGAGGAGTGTAACATTGTGTACATGAGAGAAAGTGTGCACATACCTCCATGTCATAGGACATGTTGAGATGGACCCAAACACGCCTTACGAGGCCGCTACTGCTCGAGTGAGTGAAAAGATCGAGCTTTGCTAGGCAGAAAGAACGCCAGAGAGAAATGTCAGAAGATACGCCAGAAAGAGTGTCAGAAAAAATGCCAAAAGATATGCCAGAAAGAATGCCAGAATAAGATACGCCAGTAAGAATGTCAGAAGATATGCCAGAAAGAGTGCCGAAATATTTCTCAATACATGCGGAAAGTTTTGTCCGATTGAAATGTCATGGTGGGGATCACTCGAAGTGAAGTAAATGTTTTTTGTTGCCGTGTCCTGTATGCTTCTGCTTGTAAAGATGTGTTGTCAGTGTCATGGCTTGTTGTCAAGTGGGGAAATAAGAAGAAAAACAGTAAAGGTCCACAGGTTTCAATAAACAAAGAAAATACAAAATAAAGAAACGTACTGAATTACTACTTGAAAAAGGAAAGAACAATGGCTTACTGTCAAGGTTTCAAAACAGGAACAGGGAAAGAGGAAGGGTACGGAAAAAGGTCTGGAGAAAAGAAAAGGAAAAGAAGGAAAAGGTCTAACAGAACGCTTTCAAGAAAACTAAGAGGAATCAATTTGATAGTCCAACTGGCCCAAATGCAGTCAGCCCAACCTCACTCGGTTTTGTTTCGCACTGCCTGCGCGTCAAGGTCGTGGAGGCCATCAAGTCCTGCTCACTGCAGGCAGCATTATTGTTTGGTAAAGAGGAGTGTCGCAGAGCTGGAGAAATCCGTTCTGTTTTGGATGTATATTTTTGCAGAAACACGTGGCATGTCGAGAGAAAGATATCAATGATATCAAGCGATGCAAACGACTGAAGAGTGGTTTTCTCTTGAGCCATGCAGGTGCAGAACCCTTTCTGCGAGGCGAGATGTTGATGCCAAAAAAAAGAAAATCTTCAAACCATCAGTGATTCTCGTTCAGAGATTGCGGTGGCATCGTTCGGCAACGGTCCGAATGGTCCGAACGGTCTTATCCCCGCACGTGTTTTTCGGGATCGGGTGGGTCGGTTCCAATCCCGCGGGTTCCACTGCACTGCAATTTTTTGTTTGATCATGGCAGCCGGCCTTCGCCCAGTTCAGGTACCTGGCCGTATTTGCATCACACCGTCCTGAACTGAGATGGGTTGAAGTTCGAAAGAATAGAAAAACAACTATGAGTCAAAAAGTATTAGACGCGTTACAGGTTCACACGTAGATGTTAAAATAGAAACATCATGAATTTCTAGACTGCGGCCCTTGCAATACAAGCGCCTTGACGCTTAGAGCTATGCTGCCACCTGGCCGTTTGTCAAGCAGCTGCACAACAACTCTCTCAGGACTTATGTGTGAAGACAACAAAGGAAACAGCTCACCAGGCTACATGTCTACATCACGCTGACCAGGCTACATGTCTTTTCGTGCGGATCCACAGACAATCAGTTTCTCGAAGACAGGTCAGTCTTCGACTCTTTGGACCAAATCCCAGCCGCAGCCGCTCCAACTCGGACCGTTGGCGCCATGGAGACGACGGACTCGAGCCAGCCGGACTCGCCGTCGCCTTCCTTGCTGGTGGATCACCTGGTTTGGTGTGTGCCTTCGGTGGCTGAAGGAATCGATCTCTTTGAAGCCATGACAGGTGTCAAAGCCTGTATTGGAGGGCAGCACCTTGGTCTTGGTACTCACAATGCTCTCATTTCTTTGGGAGAAGGTGTTTATCTGGAAATTCTGGCGAGGGATCCCGCACAAGATGAAGGGAGTTGGCTTGGAATTGACTGTCCCAGAAAGCCATGTCTGACGACCTTTTGTGTACAACCCTCTGGTGGTAGTCTTGAAGAAATTGCAACATCCGGCTGTGACATTGGCACCATCAAAGATTTCTCCAGAGAGAATACAGAAGGCAAAACGTTGAATTGGAGGCTTGCGGCGGATCATCATAGCTTAGGCTACGAAAAGCTACCCTTTGGAGGGCTGGTTCCTTTCATTGTCGACTGGTCAGTGAACCAGTTGGCACATCCATCGGCCATTTCACCCAAAGGATGTCGCCTCGTTGAGCTTAAAGCATTTCATCCAAATGCCATTGAGCTCCGAAGGCGTTTGGAGGCCTTGAAGGTGAAAGATGTCACGGTGGAACATGGAGACACCTCTCGCTTGGTGGCCACTTTGGACAGCCCAAAAGGCCAAGTGACGCTCGCTTAACTGTCGGAGACTGCTGCGAACCGGCCGAGACCAAAAAGCTAAAGCGAAATAACGTTGGGCCTCTTTGGCGCAATCGCTGCTAGTAGCAAGAAGCTACTAGTAGCAAAGGGCATTTCTACTAGGAGCAAGGACGCTACTAGTAGCTCCTGGCCTTACTACTAGTAGCTTGTTACTACCAGTAAGGCACCTTGCCACTAGTAACAAGAAGCTACTAGCAACAAGGTGGTGCAATTGGTTTGGACATGGTTCTCGTGGCCACTTCTGGGGGAAAGATGCACACGGGCGCAGTTTGAGATATACAAACTGTACCGAAAACAGACCCCAGACTGTAACAGTCCTCAGACTGATATCTGCCAGGTATCGCCTGAAGTTCATGACTCCCAAGGGCGGCCTTCGGAAGGACTGCGCCGATCGATGCCGCGATGGCCGGACGGTACCGTCCGGCCGAACGATGCCGCGGAGTCGACTCGGAACGGTGGAACGAAGGGCTGCGGGTCACCCTTGCCCCAGTCGAACGGGTCTAGTATGCACTCACTTTTGATGCTTAAACTCCGTGTTACTAGTAGCTTCTAGCTACTAGTAATGCCAGGAGCTACTAGTAGCCATGCCCTTGTTACTGGTAGCTTCTAGCTACTAGTAATGCCAGGAGCTACTAGTAGCCATGCCCTTGTTACTGGTAGCTTCTAGCTACTAGGATGCTGAACTGGTCCCTTCGGCCAAACGTTGCAATTCGGAAAAGCACCACAAACAGAGAAACCAAAAGGACGTTTTGTTGGATTCGCACATGGGCGTCATGGTTTGGGTGTCGCGCACGTTTCAAGGAACTGCATTGACATGCCAAAGTAGCGCCAGGACGATTGATGTGAAGCGTAAGACGTGTCAAAGCTGACAGCAAGACACCAAGCAGCGCTTGACAGCGCTTGCCTTTGCATGACTTCTCAGACACTTTTTTCAAGCCATATTCATTGGTCACGTGGGCCATGAAAGCAGCAACGTTGGTGCGGCAGTTGAATGCTGGAAGCTGAGAATCCGTTTTGTGATTGTGGCCCCAATGGCATTGTTCGATCGGAAGAGGAGGCAGTACTAGGTACATAAGGCAATGACGGAGGACGTATGCATCATTTGATTGCTGTAAGCTTGATCCTAGTGAGCTTGTTTTCATGGGCGATGTGTGTCCTTCAGGTGCAATTAGGTTGATATGAGCTAGGCTCAAAATTAGTGAACGTGACGAATAGTCAGTGAGTCTTCATGGAAAATGCATGTTTATTTTGCCCAACGATAACACACTCACCAAAAGCAAGAATGTGACGGATGTGAAAAAACGATGATACACTCACCAAATCCTGACCTGCAACTCCACAACCAATTTTGACCGTCGCTCATATAGTTAGTTACATAGGGCATCGCTACTAGAAACAAGGGCATCACTACTAGTAACAAAGGCATCGCTAATGGTGGTTGATATAGTTACAATTGGTCAAGACGGACTCTTCCGCCAGAACTCTTTGCAGGTAGTGCGAAACTGAACACTCATGTGTATCCCTATAAAACGAGCATCAGGATTCTTTTGAGCGTCATTTCCCACCTGAAACCGAGAAACAGGACTCCGAAGCCAAAAAGCGAGTGCCTGGACTCCCATTGAAAACCCCGCCGGCTTCCACCGGCCGCTGCGATTTCATGACGCCTTACTTTGGCTTCGGCGCCTTGATGAACCAAATCTCCTTGCGGATGCGCGGGGTGTACCCCAGGCACGCGAGCTGCGCGGGTTCACTGAGAGAATGGAGCAAAGCAATCCCGCTACGTTCGTAGCCAAGGGCATCGCTACGAACGGAGTGATCGGACGCTTCTAGTAGCTCCTGGCCTTACTACTAGTAACAAGAAGCTACTAGGCAGCTAGATGCATCTAGTCTAGCTCGAAAGGCACTAGTTCATCTCTAACGGCTCTAAAAACTGGAACACGTTTGATCAAGTAGATGTCTTTCAGACGTGCGCCTGGTTCAACATGGAGTCTCACTTCCCCAGGGGGGTTCAAAGAGATGTTCACTGTGATTTTTTGCAGCAGTGAGTGCAAACAAGTTGTACACTTCTTTCCATATTCACATAACAAGAGCATATGAGATGATTAATGCCACGAGAGTCATGAGAGGCTTTTTGCCTGTTGTCCACCATGAACAGAATGTTATCCGGGTGTTGACAGATTTTACGTTCTTTCTCTCCCAGGTCCCTCAGTCTCGACTTCCGAGGTCGAGTGCCGCCGCGAAGCTCGTCGGCTTTCGCTTGGTCTTCAGTGGAAGCCACGGCATGGCCACTGTGCTGCGCAGTTCTGCAGCTGATGCCGTCTATGGTGTCCTTCACATGGTATCTGCAGAAGAGAAGCAACGGCTCGAGTCCAGCGAAAGCTCCTACGAAGCAGTGGAAGCAGAGGTTCAAATGACCAGAGACTTCGGTTGTTCGATGCCAGTCACCTTCTTTTTTGTGTAAATGTTCACCCAACAAGTGTTCAAGGATTGTCCTCTGCCAAGAGGGGATGGTCCACTTCCACGATTGTTGCAGGGAGGGTAACAAGATGTAACAAGTGAGAAGAATGACTTGCTCCAAGGAAATGGGCAGCGTGTGAAGTGTACTAGGTTGAAGGCCATCGCTATTAGGTTGGAGGCCATCGCTAGTAGGTTGGAGGCCATCGCTAGTAGGTTGGAGGCCATTGCTATGAGGTGGGAGGCCATTGCTATTGGGTTGGAGGCCATCGCTAGTAGGGTGGAGGCCATCGCTAGTAGGGTGGAGGCCATGGCTATTGGGTTGGAGGCCATGGCTATCAGGTTGGAGGCCATGGCTATTGGGTTGGAGGCGATCGCTATTAGGTTGGAGGCCATGGCTATCGGGTTGAAGGCTATCGCTATTAGGTTGGAGGCCATGGCTATCGGGTTGGAGGCGATCGCTAGTAGGTTGGAGGCCATGGCTATTGAGTTGGAGGCGATCGCTAGTAGAGGCCATGGCTATTGGGTTGGAGGCGATCGCTAGTAGGTTGGAGGCCATGGCTATTGGGTTGGAGGCGATTGCTATTAGGTTGGAGGCCATGGCTATTGGGTTAGAGGCGATCGCTAGTAGAGGCCATGGCTATTGGGTGGGAGGCGATCGCTAGTAGGTTGGAGGCCATCGTTCAAAGGAAATGGGCAGCGTGTGAAGTGTACCCTCAATGTCATGCTGCCTGACGTGACTGATTCGTTCTTGGATTCGTTGCCCTCCGAGCGCTACCTCGCCGTGATGATTGAAGGAGCCATACAGCATGGCCTCCCAAAATATTGGATTGAAGCTTGCCCTTTATGTACACGGCGTTTAAATTGTTTAATGATCATGCCCTTTACACTCCAGTAGAAGATGTGTTTATTCGGCTTTAGGGTTTCCTTTCGGTGCATTTTTTGCGTAAGACCGGTGGAGACTTGCCAAAGGCTTGGGAGGGGAACAACTGATCCACTGGTAGGTAGCTGTATAACAGATCTGAAAACAGATAGCTGTTGTGGTTGGCAGATCTTCCAGCATCATCGTTTGGATGGTAGAAATCCTGCACACAAACCCTCCACCTGCCAAATCACTGCAAAGAAGAAGACCTCCCGTTTTAGGAAGATATCCATAGACAGTAGCTTTGACATTTTCCGACTCGATCTACGGCATAGCTGGTAGCTTCTAGTCTAGCCGCCCAGATCAGGAGATGCTTCAAACACATCCCTGTGCTGCTCGTTCCAGCTATCAGCGTTTCCCTTCGCCGGACAAGCAAACAGCGCAATGGCTGACGCAGGAGCAGAGACTGGTCTCAAAGGGTATTTCTGAGCAGGACTGTAAACCTGGCTTGCGCATGGACTGGGGGTATCAAGGCAATTCTTGGTATCTCGAGAAGGTATCCCACACGCTTTATTGTTTTGTGGATAGCACATGTTGCTGATGATTCAACTTGACCTGGCCGTCCTGTAAGTTTGTGCAACCCCTTTTTGGTTGAGTGTTTTGACCAGGACAAGGCAATAGAACGAGTCGACCGCATGGAGATCTCCATGAGGTTTGTTTCAACTATGAACCTGCTTTTTGAAGGGACGAAATGCACCAGAATATATACTACGGGCTCCTGGCCTTACTACTAGGAGCGAAAGGACGCTACCAACGGGGCTCCTGGATGCTAAACGGCCAAACATGGCAGTCCGTGTTTTGTCAAACCCCATTCGTTCTCCCTTCCCGCTTCGATCCTGGACGGCCTAGAAGCGATGGCCTCCAACCTAGTAGCTTCTTGTTACTAGTAGTAAGGCACTTGTTACTAGAAGCGATGCACTTGTTACTAGTAGCGTCCGATCGCTCCGTTCGTAGCGATGCCCTTGTTACTAGGAGAGCTTTTTCAGGCTTGCTGGCTTGGAGGGCCTCACCTTTGCCATCAACGGGAAGATCTTCCGTGTGGCGCCCGACGCGCCCAGCCACGTGAAGCGCCAGGCGGCTTTGGGTCGGTCGGGCCGACGGGAGCAGCGGTCGCCCGTTCCATGAGGCGTCTATAGTTGGATGGTATAGGGGCACCTACTAGCAGTTGCCTCTAACCCAAGAGCGATGGACTCAACCCCACTAGCGATGGCCTCCAACCCAAGAGCGATGGCCTCCGACCTAATAGTTTCCAACCCTCAAAATGTGGTCACTATAGTTTCCAACCGAAACACTATTGGGTTCCTCTTCTGACCTAATAGTTCATTCTTCTTGCCGTGTTTTTTTCAGTTCTTTTCTCCGGAGCCGCTGAACCTGCATGGGAGATCTTGTGTGCGACATGAATGCGCCACTTCATTCGCCCGACTCCGTGGGGAAGTGAAGGTGCTTTATTGTTGCTCGGGTTACCTTGAGTATCTTGAACACCCAAACGAAGTCCAGTTCGACTATGTTTGGCAGTCACCGAAGGTTCATGAAAGTTTGGCAACCCGGGTCACCTAGTCAGAGACCAGTCTTGGACCCTTAGGGTTGGAGGCCATCACTCTTAGGTTGGAGGCCATTGCATAGATCGCGAGATGATGATGCCTCTTCTTGTCCACTGTAGCACCAGCAGCGTCCCAACCCGCCCCTTCAATCCTGAGGTGATGATCTATGGGGCAGGCAAAGATCATACATGGGCCGTGGCTCAAGAGTATTACGAACCTTTGCATGGCGAGCCCCGCTCTTTGGAAGCTCTCACAGAGGCCAGGCACATACCGATGCACTCGTGGGGGGCCAGGTGCGATGCACTCGCTGAGGCGCCGGCGCCGCCGGCGATTTGGGGATGCAAAGGTTTGTGCCAAGAGATACTTCAAGAGACAATGATGGCAGTTGTGATCTCTCCAATTACTTTGTTTCTTGTCGTTGTTTCTTGCTTTTTTCGTCGTTTTGAAGCTAATTACCTGCTTT